CAAGAACGCTAATGAGGCGCTTCAGGCCGTTCCCAATTTAAAACCTGATTACCTTCCAAAAAATGCATTGGAAAGTTGACTAACTGGAACTCAGAATGTATCCTCTTGTGGAAATAAATGGTGGATAATTTCCAGGACAACCCACAACAGTTAAGCCAGATCATGACATACCTGGGCCATTGTTCCAACAGCAGGATTCTAGGTCCAGTAAGAAAGAAGATATGGTGAGGTTTTCTCCTCGTTGTTCTCTTGGTGGTGTTCAGTCACTCGGTTGTGCCCAACTCTCTGTGACCCCATGGACTGCAGCACACCAGGCTTCCTTATCCTTCACTGTCTCCCAGAGTTTGCTCAAGTTTATGTCCATTGCGTCGATGATGCCATCCTACCATCTCATCCTCAGGCTGAGTGGTTAAGGCGTTGGACTTAAGATCTGATGGACATGTGTCTGCGTGGGTTTGAATCCCCTTCCAGTAGAGTTGCTTTATTTCAGTATTAATATTATTATATTGNATATACACCATGGAATATTACTCAGCCATTAAAAAGAATTCATTTGAATCAGTTCTAATGAGATGGATGAAACTGGAGCCCATTATACAGAGTGAAGTAAGCCAGAAAGATAAACACCAATATAGCATACTAACGTATATATATGGAATTTAAAAAGATGGTAACGATAACCTTATATGCAAAACAGAAAAGGAGACACAGATGTACAGAACAGACTTTTAGACTCTGTGGGACAAGGCGAGGGCAGGATGTTCTGAAAGAATAGCATTGAAACAAGTACATTATCAAGGGTGAAACAGGCCACCAGCCAAGGTTGGATGCATGAGACAAGTGCTCAGGGCTGGTGCACTGGGAAGACCCAGGGGGATGGGATGGGGAGGGAGGTGGGAGCGGGGATCGGGATGGAGAACACATGTAAATACATGGCTGATTCATGTCAATGTATGGCAAAACCACTACAATATTGTAAAGTAATTAGCCTCCAACAAATAAAAATAAATGAAAAAAAAATAAAACAAGAAACAAAAAAACAAAAGAGGCCATTGAGGAAAGATGCTTCCTTGGAAAATGAGCTGTATGGAGACTCAATTTTATACTACAATTTAAATCCATAAAATGCCTTTAAATAACTCACAGTTGGTGGAACTATACAGACAAAGGGATGTACAGGCATTTTGGAAGTTGACATTTTCCCACCAAACCACAAATCTGGAAGATGTATTTTTCCCAGTGCCTGTGTGGATATTATTGACAGTTTTCTTTGCTCTGCCTCACCCCTTCAGTTCCCAAGGAGTTCATAATTTTGGTCTGTTTTATCAGCTTATCTTGGGCTTCCCTGGTGGCACAGATGGTAAAGAATCTCCCTATAATGTAAAAGACCTAGGTTCAATCCCTGGGTGGGGAAGATCCCCTGGAGGAGGACATGGCAACTCACTCTAGTATTCTTGCCTGGAAAATCCCATGAACAGAGGAGCCTGCTGGGGGTCACACAGGGTCGGACACGACTAAAGTGACTTAGCAGATACACATCAGGTCCTCTCAGCTTGTGCTATCTTCTGGCATCTGTACACTCTGATTCTGCTGAACTGGCTTCTAAATCATTATGATTGTCCTGACCCTTAATGTTGAGTATCCTCTGAAAATCCACATGTTGAAGCCCTAACTTCCAGTACTCCAGAATGTGATTTTTTGTGGAGACAGTCTTCACCAGGGTAATGACGTTAAAATGAAAACATTAGGGTGGGCCAAAATTCAACATAACTAGTATTTTTATAAAAGGGGGAAATATGGACACAGAGACATGCATTGGAGGAAGAGGATGTGAAGAAACACGGGGAGAAGATGTTTATCCACAGAACAATCAACAAGACCTAGAATAAGATCCTTCCTTCATAGTAGAAAGAAACCCTAATGATATTTTGGGTTTCTAGTTTCCGGAACTCAGATAATAAATTTCTCTTGTTTACAGGACCCAGTCTGTGCTATATTGTTACAGAAGCCCTATCAAACTAATATGCTTACCATTTAACAAAGAAATAGATCCCCATTTTTATACTTGGTTTGACTTATGACTTTGTCTCCTAAGATCCACTCACCTCCTCATCATGGTAAATAGCCAAAAAAGCAAAATATCCTAAGATTTGTGTCCTATTTTTATCACTTAAAATGAATGACTTTTCTGATCCTTAGATTCCTTATATAAAAAGTACGGACACTATCCCTGCCCTACTTATCTGTCTACATAGATAAAGCTGAGACAGGGTACCACATAGAGACTGTAAATCTCTACCCAAGTCTAAGACAGCCTGAGTCCTGCTGTTTATTCGTAATAAGCTATTCCTCTTGCCTAATCATAACAGAGCAGAAAGAGCTACAGGGCTCTTTGAGAGGATCAAGCTCAGAAGTCTCCACTTTTAACAGAGGTCCAACCTCAGACTTTATTTGTGCTATTTCCAGTGCAATAGGCAGGATGTGAGCAGATGAATAAGGAACTGCTTTGTTCAGGAATGTGAGGTGATGCTTCAAAATTTCACTATTCACAAATCTCCGGAGGGTTTAAAAGTAATTTCTCCAACATATTGATTTTGTTAAGGTAATAAGTTATAGAAACTAAGACTTTTCAGAAATATATAAGGGAAGGAGAACTTTAGTGGCACATCAAACTGTGTTAACAAAATTTGAGTCTATCGAATGTGATTTTTCCTTTTTGGTTGTTCTGTGAAATTTGTGGGATCTTAGTTGCCCAACCAGGAGCTGAACCTGGGCCCTGGGCAGTGAAAGTATGGAGTCTTAATCACTGGAGAGCCAGGGAATTCCCATTGTATGTGATTTTAAATTTGAAAAACTTAAATGTAGGATGCTAGCTGCTTTCCAACATATTTTGTATGTATCTTTGTCTGCTTTTAAAATGATTTTGTTGAAAAATGGATGCTTCTATAATAAATAACACTTTTATAAAATTAATTATAAAAATATAACTTACTCTCAAATAGTTTACATTTTAGTTGCATAAATTCTTATCTAGTCTCAAACGCTGCTCAAAAGAACTACATTTAAAAAAATGACTCTACCCTTTACAGTTCTCTAGAATGCCTCCAGATGGCATTAAAACCCTTTCCTGTTTTACATAGTAAAAAAATTAAAAATTAGTAATATTTTAACAATTTAAAACCAGTCACATTCATTATATCATTAGAAATCATGACAATAGAACCATTTATAACTTTTAGGATAATATCTTAAGAAAGACCAGCAAATAATCACAATCTTTATGAAATAAATAGTCATCCTATGCAAGCCAAAGACTCTTCCTAGACTGAGAAACCACATCTTGGACAAATACACTCAATAATGTTATATCACAAGCTGTCATTTCTAATGGCTAGAAAGCACTTTTTTTTTTTTTTCAGAAAGCACTTTAAATGCTTACCAGTGAAGAACACTGGTCCAAATATAAATATATTCACAAAACTGTCTTATAATAAGAAATCACATCTAACTCCTCAGAAATGATAAAAATAATGATTTTTAAGAAAAAAAAACCTGTTACTAATTCCTATTCAGCCAAAATAATTTGTTAGTTCATGAGTTATGTAAACTTTGGCACATAGATTTGGCATCAAATTAATCATCAAAACATTTTTCGACTGCTTGAGTATTGAGAGGAGAAAGATGAAATGTGGAATGAAGAACATGTTTAAAAAGAGCCTTTTCTTATCTTTTTACAACTGTGTTTGTTAACTCAGAAACATGAATAAACCATGGTCCAGAGATGTCTATAATTGTATGTTTCACATAATTCAGAGGTGAGGTTGCAAAGGACAACATTTAAAAAAATGACTCTACCCTTTACAGTTCTCTAGAATGCCTCCAGATGGCATTAAAACCCTTTCCTGTTTTACATAGTAAAAAAATTAAAAATTAGTAATATTTTAACAATTTAAAACCAGTCACATTCATTATATCATTAGAAATCATGACAATAGAACCATTTATAACTTTTAGGATAATATCTTAAGAAAGACCAGCAAATAATCACAATCTTTATGAAATAAATAGTCATCCTATGCAAGCCAAAGACTCTTCCTAGACTGAGAAACCACATCTTGGACAAATACACTCAATAATGTTATATCACAAGCTGTCATTTCTAATGGCTAGAAAGCACTTTTTTTTTTTTTTCAGAAAGCACTTTAAATGCTTACCAGTGAAGAACACTGGTCCAAATATAAATATATTCACAAAACTGTCTTATAATAAGAAATCACATCTAACTCCTCAGAAATGATAAAAATAATGATTTTTAAGAAAAAAAAACCTGTTACTAATTCCTATTCAGCCAAAATAATTTGTTAGTTCATGAGTTATGTAAACTTTGGCACATAGATTTGGCATCAAATTAATCATCAAAACATTTTTCAACTGCTTGAGTATTGAGAGGAGAAAGATGAAATGTGGAATGAAGAACATGTTTAAAAAGAGCCTTTTCTTATCTTTTTACAACTGTGTTTGTTAACTCAGAAACATGAATAAACCATGGTCCAGAGATGTCTATAATTGTATGTTTCACATAATTCAGAGGTGAGGTTGCAAAGGACAGGCTTTAAAATGACCCTGGTACTTCCCAGGTGTGTAGGACAGACAATCTCCCAGTATGTGAGAAATGTTCTCCAATTATTTATGACAGTGATAGAAGTTGCTGAGCAAGTTCCAAAAGCTCTCCTCCCCTCCTCCACCCCATAATACCATCAAATCTCATTACATCTGTACATTATAAAGAGGAGCCTTGTGTTTTCAAGATTACTCTTACTGGGCTAAAGCTAAAGACCTCAAAATGCAACTGCATCCAAAAGCATTTAAGCAGGCATTATCATGAGAAAGAGAACCACAGACTTCCTTCCATTATTATTATTACTATAACAAGATATTTGCGCTATTTTGTATTATAAGCATATTAAAGAACTTGGGATAGAAACAGGAAAGAGACTTACGATGTATTCGATGTGCCATTGTCTGGACTCTCTGGCTCAGCATCACCTTTCTCTTAAAAAAGGAAGCAGAAAAAAAAAACAAACAACATATGAGTGTTACAGCCTTTAAGATTTAAGAGAGACTCAATATTAACAATCATTCAAAATGTGCAGCAGGAGGCTTTAAAAACATCTTTTTATTGTCCAAGAACTGGATTTGCAAAATAGTTTCTTCTCTGTAATACAATTGCCTGGGCATGGATCTATGAATAGGTGCGAAGGAGCTGTTTGCAAACAACCAGGGCTCAGAGTAGAGACCCTGCCAAGAGATGAATCTCTTACAGATGGAAGCTGTTTTCTTCCCCTTCATTTTACAGAAAATTTCAGGAAATAAACCCCATTAGCATTCTAGATGCAAGGCACTTTGATCCTTTCTGCCACGTGCATGCTCAGTCTCTTCAGTCGTGTCCGACTCTTTGTGACCCTATGGCTCCTCTGTCCATGGGATTCTCCAGGCAAGAATACTGGAGTGTGTTGCCATGCCCTCCTCTGGGGGATCTTCCTAAACCAGGGATTAAACCTGAGCCTCTTATGTCTCCTGCATAGGCAGGCGGGTTCTTTACCACCAGCGTCATGTGGGATGGTGGCGTTTAGCTTGTGTTTAGCCCTAACACAAGCTAAACCAGGTGGGCACACCAGAGCTTGGACAAGAGGACTGTACACAACACTGAGGCTGCACCCCCGCTTACGAGATCCCCAAGAATGACGCTCCACAGACAGCCCTGGCAGCAGATTCTGGGGTCACCCTGTTAATGCAGAGTAAGATGCAAATCAGAAATCCTTCCTGACCATCTGAGAGGCCACTTAAGCCACATTTCTGCCATGTGTAGTCAAGGATTGAATGGGTCCATTTTTTGGAGTTTTAAAGGGCAAATTCCTCTTACAGCAGATATAATTCTTAGATCCTCAACCACTGATGGTTTGAAACTATACATCCTCACATTACAAGGTGTTTCGTTTTATTTCCTTGAGGCTAGGAGACAGAAGAAGGGCTTCCCAGGTGGCTCAGTGGAAAAGAATTCACCTGCCAAGCAGGTGACATGGATTCGATACCGGGGTTAAGCAGATCCCCTGGAGCAGAAAATGGCAACCCACTCCAACATTCTTGCCTGGTAAGTTTCATGGACAGAGGAACCTGGCGGGCTATAGTCCACACGGTCACAAAGAGTTGGACACAACTGAGCAACTAAACAACAACAACAGAGGAGACAGAAGGTCACGACTGCCACTGTGAGTCAGCTGTGGTTACGCACCGCTAATGGCTTAACAAACCCCAGACGAGATTATGAGTTGCAAGAGATGGGACTGAAGGTGGCGACTTGCTTTATTTTGCTATTTCAGGTCAGGCCTGGAGACCTCATAGAATCCCTCAGTCTATTGTTAAGGACTTCAGGTTTATGCCCTGCACCAAGCCCCTTTTTGAAACCTATCAGGAACGACCGCCTAAATCACACGATGAACACATTCCAAAGACACTGTCCAAGCTGAACGCAAAAGTAAACTTCTTTTTTCCTTACAGGAAAAGGAACAGTTGTGAGAGAAGGAAGACCGTTATATATGGTCCACGCATCTATCTCGGATGTGACTGCGCTAACAAGTGCCCACAGAGTGCTTTGGAGCCGCCAGGAAGGGCAGCCACTTTGTAAAAAAAGCCACACCACCTGTTTACCTGCCTCAACGGCAACCCTGGTCAGACAGAGCCCCAAACACAGGAAATCATGGTGAAGTAAAAGTAGAGACAGCAAACTAATAAACTTTGAAGCTCATATTTCCGTATCATATTTTGTCTTTCAGGCCAGATCTGTTGTGAACTCATTGAGAGACAGGCAAGACCTTGTCAACTACTTTCATGCTAGAAAATAGCCTGATTTAGTAGCTTCCAGAATTACCTTCCAATAAGTAACCACAATTCCTGCCAGAATCCCCAAATACAGTGTTACAATAGCTGCATCAACTAAGACAGGTAAAGACAACTAGCTGCTGCTGTTCAGTTGTGTCTGACTCTTTGCGACCCCCATAGACTGTAGCCCGCCAGCCTCCTCCGTCCTTATCAAGATTGCTGGGTGAAACATCAACAACCTCAGATATGCAGATGATACCAGTTTAATGACAGAAAGTGAAGAGGAACTAAAGAGCCTCTGGATGAGGACAAAAGAGGAGAGTGAAAAAGCTGGCTTAAAACTCAACATGAAAAAGACAACTAGACGGAGGTTTAATTTTTCTTAAACACCGTGACTTTTCCCTCTTTCATTTGGAGAAACTGGTTATGTTTCCTGGTCTGCAGCCACCAGAAGTCACCCCACATCTCATCATCACCAGGAACGTGAACAGCAGGCAACAGTAAACATTTCTGAACAAATTACGTCAAAAAAATCAATACGCTATATGAATACATTATTTGGATGCTTGAATAAATATGTTTTACCTTGATCAACAATGCTGCCAGATAACCCGTGGGCTGGGGGACAGAGGCCTTACTGCACCTGGGATCTGGGGGCTGCGGGGATCGGGGGCCGGATCAGCGCAGGCACAGAGCTGCAGCTGATTACCTCTGCTCTTAGCAGCGCTTATGTTGTGGCAACAGGGAAAACAGAACAGTTTCTGGCAAACAGGAAGGATGCAACAGGGCCAAACGAGGCATTTGTGAACAGTCTGGGAGTGAATGTTCTCAGCTGATCATGAATTAACCTTTCTGGGGGAAAAGTAAGCTCAGGATAGGGTCAGGAATGAAAACTATGTCTGTTCATCAGAAAGAATGAAACACAAAATTCTCCCCCAATATCTGGAAATTTTAGATGATGCAATTTCTGAAGTTAACTTGAAATGTCCTACAAGCCAGGAAGAATCATAGGCTCTTTACCAGGACCCAAGGGAAAAATGATGAATGTAAGCCAGAAAAAATGCTCAGGAAGAGACTTTTCAGTTGGGTGCTCAGGAGACGTTTCCTTGCCACCACCAAAGAGGACTACTGGGGGTTGTTCTGACTATTTCAGCTGATTTCACAATAGATTCCACATTGCTGTCCTTTGGAAGGGACATGAATTGATCTTTTGAAGACACTAGGCATAAGAGATGGACTCAGGTGCATCACGGTCATCTTGATGAGGAAATAAAATTACAGATAGGGAGAGAGGAAAAATGAGCCATAGAAAGAAAAATTATATACACACATACACATATATGTATACATATTTATACTCACACATGTAAATAGGTATATACATGTATATCTATATTATTTGTGTTTTTTCTTTTAAAATTTACTTTTAACTTTTTATTTTATGTTGGAGTATAGTTGATTAACAATGTTGTGTTAATTTCAGGTGTATAGCAAAGTGACTCAATTGTACAGATACATGTAACTGAAGCTGAAACTCTGGCCACCTGATGCGAAGAGTGACTCACTGGAAAAGACCCGGACGCTGGGAAAGATTGAGCGCAGGAAGAGAAGTGAGCAACAGAGGACGAGACGGATGGATGGCATCACCAACTCAACAGACATGAGTTTGAGCAAACCCCGGGAGACAGCGAAGGACAGGGAAGCCTGGCGTGCTGCAGTCCAAGGCATGGCACAGAGTCGGACACGACTGAGCAACAGCATTCTTTCTTAGCTTCTTTTCCTGTTTAGGTTGTTACATAATGTTGAGTATAGAGCTCCTGTGCTATACGGCAGGCTCTTGCTGGTTATCCATTTTCAATATAGCGATGTGTCCATGTTAATCTCACATGTGTTCTTCCAGCTTGATTTGTCTTCCACAGGACCAAGCACATATCACACACTCAGTTTGTGTCCGCTGGCTGATGACCTTTCATTACTGCAGAATCCCACGCTATAGTGGGAAAGGGGAGGGCTGCCCCTGCACGTTCCACTGCGGTGGACACAGACTCTGGCGTGTGCAAGTTTCGAATCTCCAACAGGCCACTTAAAAAGTTACAGTAGCTACATGTTTAATCCAATAAATGTACCAAGGGCTTAAATGGTGTGTACTGTCTGGAAAGATAGATAATATCTAATTTAACTGCAAACGACTGCACTGTTGGAGTACTGCACTCTACATAAGTTGTACTGTGAAAAGGAAATCAAAATAGACCTGGGCTGCATTCTGCTTGGAAGGAAACTTATGCTATACTACAACATTTCTTTATGATAAAAGTAATCTGTGCTCATGGTAACAACCATTATGCTAAATAATACACTTATTTTTAGATGAGTCAACTTCAGAGACTACATAATAATTTCTAATATGAAAAAGGAGAGAAGATAAAATTTAAGATACATGACCACCTCCCTTCTTACAATTGTTGCCAGTTCTTTAACTACTTTTAATGTCTGTGCTGTGCTTAGTCACTCAGCTGTGTCCGACTTTTTGTGACCCCATGGACTGTAGCTCGCCAGGCTCTTATGTCCATGGGGATTCTCCAGGCAAGAATACTGGAGTGGATTGCCGTGACCTCCTCCAGGGGATCTTCCCAACCCAGGGATCAAACCCAGGTCTCCTGCGTTGCTTTACCATCTGAGCCACCAGGGAAGCCCTTTTAATGTCTAGTGGGTATTTTAACTTTAAGTAAATTTAATCTTCTATTTTTTGATTAATCAGCTTCTGACAGTACTTTTTCTTTTAGACTATGTGAAGAAGCTCCCCCCATTTATTCTTCCCTCCTGCTCTCCCCTCCCTCCATCACATCCTGCTCTGCACAGCTACACCTTTCTTCCTGCATAGCTGAGGTTTAAAATATTTATACTCTGTTCAGTATTATTGAGTCATCTCATTAATATTGATTTAATTAATAATTTAATTTTGGGAAGTGCCTATAGGCCAATGAGAAAAATTATATATGATATAGAATTTACAATATTGTAACAATATAAATATTAGTGTCTAAGAAACAGTTAAAAGACTGGACCTGTGCAGAAGGACTGCCACTAGACTTGAATGAAGGCAAGGGTTCCCAGCATCTACGTCAAATGGATTCTCATTCTTATATCTCACTGTGGCATAGATTAATCTAGCT